TGCCTGTCATCCCCCCCTGCGACCTGCTCCCCAGGCTGGTCCCTCACCCCAGCTCTCCTCGGGTCTCTGTGCCCCTGGGTGATGGATCCCTGCAGTTTGCCTTTGTGCCCGCTGGCTGCAGAGCTACAGGCAGGTCTTAATTTTCTCTGTGTTGATGCAGCTAGACAAGACCTGAATCCTTAACGGCAGGGCTGGAGGTCTCTGGCAGTAGTGTACCGGTTATCTCTTGGTAATGCACCGGTTATCTCTCGGCGGGAGGCACCGGGCATGCCAGTGTGAGGCAGAGATGTGAGCAGAAAATAACAGGGGCCTGTCTGGGCCCGTCTTGCCTTCAAGTGGGAGATTAAGTGCCTTGCTTCCCACACAGAGTGTGGCTTCCCCACTGCCGGCTCTCCATGTCTGTCTGTTTGATGTGAGTGTGTAACGAAGGGCCCAGGTCTTGGCTGAGGCATAGTAGTTTGATGGTGGTTTAAGAGTTGCCCTGTTTAACTACAGAGAGAGGTTCCTAGGCAAAAATGCTGTGGGTCCTGCCTAGCTAAAATGCCGAGGGACTGTGTTGTGGGACCTCAGGCCTGGGAGGTGTTTGGTGGAGAGAGCTTAAATGCCACTGGCACAAGGGGGGAGTCTCTGGGCAGGGGCTGTGGATGGGAGGATGTCCCCAGGCCCCCCCCTGGGAGTGGCATCTTGTGCTCTGGTGCATCCCTGCCTGCTGCCAGTGGCACGGCTCGGAGGTGAGACAGCCTGTGTGGCATGCCAGGGCACGGTGACCATGTGGCACTGCCTTGGCTCCCACCCTGCCAGCATCTCGTACCAAATGAACAGAGGCTCCCCGGACCTGGGGGAACTGCGTGGAGCAGAGGGAAAGCCACAAGCGTGGCTCCCGGCCCCGCCGGCTGTGGCAGAGCCCACTCAGGGCTGCCAGCTTCAGAGCAGTGAATTCACCTTCAAGAGAGAAAGGGAAATGACATGAGTGTTTCCTTCCTCTTCAGCCTGTTACCATGCCAGGAAGGACCAGTTTTATCTAGGAGCCCTCAAGCTGCGAGGGTCACATCTCTGTCACTTTCCTCTGCCCGATGCTGTTGCCTGAAAACAGCCTTTGCTAGATCGTGATCTCCTGCAAGTCTCAGAGCCACATCTGGGGTGTGTTTGGGATGGAGACAGAGGTGCTGTTTTGGGGGGACAAGTACCAGAGCCTGAGTCGCTGTCCACAGGGCATGGGGCGGGGGTCTGGGTGCTCCTGGCAGCAGCAACAGCCCTTGTTCTGCCCAATCCAGCCTGGCCAGGGCATGCCTGCGCCTGGTCTCGTCCCCAACCCACTCTGGCAGTGTCTCCAGCAGAACCAGGCCAATAAACTGCCTGTCGACACGAGGGTTTGCAAACACGAGCAGAGCTCAAAGGACTGAGTTTCCTGTCCCTGTTCCTGTCTGAGCTGTGTTGGGGACCATGTGAAGCTGCGCTCTCCCACCAGCTGTGCTGGCTGTCCCGGAGCCAGGCGTGCAGGAGAGCTGGTGCTGGGGTACAGGGAGACCTGCGTTATGGGGATGGGGGGATCCTTCGGGTAGGGAGGAATTTGGAGCTGGGCTTTGTCAGGCTAGACGTGAGGGGCTGAGCCAGCCCTGCCTGGCATCGCCCTGGTGCCTGCCAAACATCTGTACAAGGTCTCCTGCTGTGACTCCGCTCCCACATCCATGAAGTGACTTCATCCTGCATCGCATGCCGCTGGTGTGCAGCCGTGTCCCTGGCTGGTGTGCAGGATGTGGCTCCCCAGGTGGGAACAGTCAGGCTCTTGCCTGGCACTAAGCAGTGCTGTGCCGGCGGCTTAATTGGAGGCCATCGCCAAGGTCCGGTAAAGTTACATCTGTGGGAGCTCTGGACTGCTGGGTTATGTCCTCGCGGCCGGGAGGAGCAGTGACTCAGGGACCTCATCCAGGAAGTTGGGGGCTGCTAACGCATCCCCTGCCCATGGGTTCATTATCGCCGAGTCCAGTGTGCGTGGGTTGATGGCCGTGGTTTCTCTCTCTGCAGGCCACGATGCTGCGTCTGGCTGCTTTTGCAGCGCTGCTGCTGTTCTTCAGGGTCAGTCTAGAGCTGTCCTGGGCCCAGGCCATCCCCGCTCTCTTCATCTTCTACCTGGGATCCGGAGGATGGGACTTCTTCCTCATATTCATCAAGACAATACGAAGGGACGTCACGTAGGTGTCCTGACTGGGATGGCCCGACCATCCACCTTCCCCCTGGCCCACTGCTCTCTCCCAGTGTATGTGTGAGCGCAGCCCCCAGCTCCTTGCACAACCCTGGGTTTCTGCTGACACCCAGCCCAGCTGGAAGGAGATCTCCCTCTGCCACGCCTGGGAGGCTCCAAGCTCTTGGGCAAAGTTTTCAGAGGAAAGATAGATTTCAGCTGAGCTTGAAGTCTAGTGACTGTCCTTGTACTT